GAAGCATCCTGAGTTATGAGTCGTGCAATTTAATTTCTTGGGAAAATTACTTTAACATTTTGCTTGGTTTCACGGTTTTGCAGATTGGTTCTTGTATGTCATTGTGTTTCTTTTGAGAAGTGCGTAGAAAAACTTTCACAACTAAGGTTTCTTCATGGCTTCCAACAACTTCTCACCACAGGAGCCAAATCCAAAAGCTACAATCCAAGAGATCCTCAAGATCGTGGACCAGTTGCATACAAAGCTTCTTCCATCTCAATCTCAGATACTTACGACGTCTAGAAGCTCTGGTGCTGGACTCAGTAACCAAAACAAGAGACTTGAACCAGTTTCAAGTGCACCTGCTGTTTTATTTGGCCTGGATGATTCAGAGAATGTGATTCCTAAGCTTCAAAGTAATCTCCGTCTTCTGAAAGAGGGCCTCGTTAAAGTTCAAGATCTACTCGAAGACGTTGGATATGAGGTGAGGAAACATTTTCATCCACTTAACTCTCTGCTCAAGCGAGTGGAGTTCTCGAAAACTCAGTTGACCAAAGGTATGAAGAAAGACTTGGAAGACATCAACAAGAAGATCTTTAACTTGATGTTACAGGTCCCTTTGTTGACTAACGACAGTAGAAAACAAGGATCAGACCACGAGGACCGCGATGGGGAAAATAACGGCAGAGGCCTTGTATGCTTGCCCGGAATCCATGCCAATGAAGAAGGTCTCAAAAGACTTGCGGTTTTCAGACAAGTAAGAGATAAGTTTGAGAAGCTTAGTGCTGAAAGGAAGTTCTGCCTGCTGAGCTTTGCCGTGTTCCCGGAGAATCAAGAGGTGAATAGAACAATGTTGATGTATTGGTGGATTGGAGAGGGGATTCTTCCTGAACGCAGACAACTTGAAGAGGGGCGTTTTAGGCGTATCAGAGTCAACCCCGAGGTTAGTGTGAAGGAGATTCTTAAGGAATTCACGGATGAAAACTTGATTGAAGCTGTTGAAAACAAACGCAAAGTGGAGCCAAATAGCTATAAAATGAACCCTTTTGTGCATTCTTCTGTGGTTCTTCTCTCCAAGGAGATAGGACTTTTCGATATGTATCGTAACGGAGAGAAGCCAAGAATGAAGAAATCAGAACTGAACAAGGTATGCCTTGTGGAAGATTCGTCAAGCCAGGCGGAAGCAAAAGCCAAAAACATGCCTCAAG